AGAGCCAGCACTTGGGCTCTGTCATTCTGATGGGTAAGTGGATGACATAAGCACTTCCGCTCTGTAAGTGCACATCTCCTTTTCGACCTTTGACCCTAATCAATTAAGCAATGAAATGATGAAACCTCACTTTTGATCAATACCTTCCGTCTAGAGGGACATCGTGCTGTCCTTACAGACTATTATTAGATTTAGTTTGGAATGTTAACTGCTGCCTCGTGTAAGGCGGGGAGGGGGGGGCTTAAAAAACAAAACTCAGTGTCTCTGTTGTAACCCATGCTGACCCAGACCTTGCTATCCTCCTGCCCAAGCCCAAGGCTGAGTTACAACAGAGACCCTGAGTTAGGATTAGGGTGGTTCTTTTGAACTAATGAGTTTATCGAAACATCCTGTTAGTAGCTACTGGGTATCGAGGTCCTGCCCATTTGAGGTATGTGGAAATCACCAAAGCTTTTGGTTTTTTCTAATTAAGCCATGGCAGTGGGATGGGGTAAGTCACCTGAAGGGCAGTAGGATGTCTCATGTGTCCTCATAACCCTTCAGGAACCTGCCTATTCTTCTCCTTAGTCTTCATTTAATCTGAGTTTTAGTCACAAAAGGATGCTTAGTACTTTCCTACACCCAGTAAGGATGTCCCCCTCTTTGTTCTACTACTGATATACACTGGATTTCTTTTGTTAAACTAACTTTGTGCTGTCTATCCATGCACATTCTAAGTGTGCAGAGGTAGCTCATCCATTTTTCAGTGACTAATGACACTCAGCATCTTTTCATGTACTCATTGGCCATTCATACATTCTCTGTTATGAAGGCACTTCAAAGGTGTCGTAATCCTAATTATATGGGCCTTTTTTACAAGGTCTTTGACAAATTCATGGTGTGGCCCTTGGCTGCCAAGCATGATGACCTGAGTTTGGTCCCTAGGACTCACATGGTAGAAGGAAAGGACTCCCAAAAATTGTCCTCTGGCCTCTACACACACACCAGAAGGGACACACTGGCCAGACCACAAAACATTAAAAAAAAATTGTTAATATTTTCTTCCATTTGAATACTTGCATCTAATTTTCCCAACATTATATGAAAAGCACAACTTAAAAAGTCCAATTATGAGTTTTCCTTTTATAGTTTGTACACTCTGCTCTGGGGAATATCTTTTTATGTAAAAGTGATAACACTGATCCTGGCTTCTTTTAGTTACCCTGTAGTTTTAGGTTTTAGACTTAAAACTTATTCACTTCAGATTTTGGTTGTTTATGTTAATTTCCCATAATTGTACATGCAATTGTGCCAGCATTATTTGTTGAGTGGGTTCCTCTTTGCTGACCAAGATGGCCAGGCTCCCTTGTGGATCACTTGAACATGCCCACGTGGCTCTTTGTGTAGGTCTCCCTGGATACAAGTTTGATAACTGTAGGATGAAGCCTTGAAAACAGAAGCAAGGGTCCTCCAACTCTGTTCTGACAATCACGTTGATTACCTCCTAGGTCATTTGTATCTCACACATTTTAAACAGTCAATTTCTAAAAACTGTTGCAATTTTGATCTGAACTGTGTCTGTCACATCGAGGGTAGTCTTGACCTTGTGAATGGCAAGCACTCTATTACTGAGCTGTATATACTCAGCTGTCTGTCTGTCTTGAGATAGGGTCTCACTCTGTAACCCAGTCTGTGTTGTCACCCTCAGGAACACAGTCTACTTCTTTGAGACAGAGTCTCTAGACAGCCTGGAAATCATCAATTATGCTGCCTGGCTAGGAAACCTAGGGATTCTCCTGTTTCCACTCCCCTAGAGCTGGGGACACAATGGTGCATTTTTGCAGGTTCTGGAGATCAAATTGAGCTCCTTGTACTTGCCAGGCAAGCGCTTCACCAGCTGAACTCTCCCTGTTTCCTGTATCTTCTCCCATCAGGTACTTCCAAACAAGATTTTGGCATCTAAGTTCACTGGTGTCCTTAGATTCCTGTCTTTAATCTTGTTTTGTTACCAGAGTGATACTGGTCTCATAAAAGGGACCAGCAGCACTTCCTTTTTAAATGAGCTTTTGTGGGACGGGCATTTCTTTCTTACACGATCGACAGATTGACAGGCCAACAACCTCTGGCACTGGCACCTTGTGAGGTGGTTATTAATTCAGGGCCATTAAGACTTTTTTCTTTTGTGACACTGAATACTGAGCCAAGGATTTTGTTCCCAAGAGGTACACAACTCTACTTCTGAGCTACACCCAGCCCCAGAGCTTCAGTTTTGAACAGAAAGTTTTTGTTGCACTGATTTTCGCTGCTGGAAGTCTGCCTGCTAACGTCCCAAGTGCAAGCTGGAAGTACAAAGCAGTAACACCTGGCTAGTAACCACCAGACCTTTGGCTGGCAGTAAAGATTGCTGTTGATTTTTCTATTGACTGCTGTGCATTTCCCTTATTCCTAACAGTTCATAACACATGACAGGAAAAAAATGAACTTAAGTTCCCGCCTCTCTAGGTAGCCCGTTGTTACCTAGTTTCTTCGGTTCCTTCTTTGCAAATTACATTCCCCTACCAGACACGAGTTCTTTAAGCTGGGTGGGCCACTGTCACAGTGCTGACATTGCAGGAAATTGGATGTGTGTCAGGGGGCATAGGGCAGTCAACAGCACTGTGCAAAGTTCTGCACATGTCTACATCAGACACAAAGCTATGTCCAGCTTACCAGGTAGTTATTAGAGGGCCAATGCATAAAGTTCACAGGCCCCAGAATCACTCTTTCTGTTTCTGAAGGTGCAGGTCAGGTGACAGAAACAGAAAGTGTGGTGGATTTGGGCATCAGGACCTGTGGCTGAAACTTACATGTGTACTAATCTAGGTATGGAATGAATAAATGTTAAAGTACTACAAACACCACATAAAGTACTACATGAGACCAAGTTCAGATCAACAGTGCCCATAGAAATGAGAGGGTTACCCAGGGTTACTGCTAGCAGCAGGATAAAAGCCCAGCCTCTTGAAGGAGGTCAGCAGGGGGTGTGGGACACACACACACACACACACACACACACACACACACACACACACACGAGTGTACCAGGAAGTGAAGACTACCCACTTGTATGCAAATGTCATAATGAGACCCATTATGCATAATTAATATATGCTAATAAAGAAAAGTAAAAACCTGCCTGTGGATGGGGAACACAGGCCACAAAGGCCAGTGTAAGGACAAGAGGTCAGCAGCCAAAGAACTTCTTTGTCCTCCATGTTCCCTTGGCTCAACTCCTCTTGGTCCTTTCAGGCCTGTCGTCCTGACTTTCAGAAGACCCAAATCACATCTGCCCTTGCAAAATAAGCTTGACCTTCAGACTTCAGATCCTCACCACATCTCACACCCCAATTCATAGCTTGATAAAGTAAGACTTTAGACTTTGTATCCAAGTCTAAAAGGATGCACTGGAGAGTGGAGTTTGGTTTACCATGTCAGGCAGAAGCAAGAGGTATTTTAGAAGTAGAGAAACCATTATCAGGGACTTAGTAAGACATCCTCACAATAGAGCCAATAAGATGTGCGGAGAGGTGCTGGCCATCAAATGTATGGCCTGACTACCAATCTCTGGACCCTGATGACGGAAGGGGAGAGAAACTCGGGGAAGACACAGTGTGGCATTCATACAGCCACTTCTCAAAATAAGTACATAAATGCAATTAAAAAAGAAAGAAAGAAAGAAAGAAAGAAAGAAAGAAAGAAAGAAAGAACCCCCCAAAATAGATGGCATCTCCTCCAGGGGCTAGACCAACCCTGACTTTATATTTTGTTTTCAAGTAGTTCCCTTAACACCAAAGGTTCAAATAAATCCTCTGAGACATTTTGTTGGTATAGACTTTAAATCACAAGCTTGATTTAACACCCTCAGACACAGTTATAAATAGTTGTCATTACTTTCAAATGAGAGGAGAGATACATTTCAGTACAATGGATGAATTCTTTATGCCTGGAGTAAGACCCTCTCATCTTCAGGTGGGACATTCTAGTTCATGCAGTAAATGGCTATTACATTTTAAAATGAGCCCTGGATTTTCTAGGTGAGAGTTCATGCTCACTTTAAGTCAAGAGGCCAGTCTCCCCCCTCCCCCCATCCGATTACTCTGTGGTCCCTGAAGTGGTGAGCACCGAGCTTCTCTGACACACAACTGGGCCCCTGGTTAGCAAGGTGTCAGTTCAGGCCTTTCCTTCACCGAAGGCCCCCAGGAAACCTGAGGTTTTAGAAGAGTGGCCAAGGTGGCCGAGAGGCAAATATAACGCCAGAGATCACACAAGACTCTGAGTGACCTAAGAGAGGTAAATGGGGAATTTAACTTTTCTTGACGTAAAAATGGCAGAAACAGGTGCCACCAAATCCCAGCAACTAGAAATCACGAGGGTGAAACAAGTTTGTGCATCATGAGGATATAGTGGTTCAGGCTTCTACTGAACCACTGGTAGAAGTACCCAGATGATGGGACCTATTTTACACATGATGTGATTAGAAGGTCTCAAAATTTATAACAGGACATTAAAATAATCTTCTAATAAAATCAGCCTTAGGTATAAGGAATCTAACTTTCAGTATTCTGTATACTTCTAAATAAATAACTCTGATCTATAACCATTGAAAATATTATAGTTTATGGTGACATGGTAAGAGATAAGCCACACAGTGTTGTAAGTGAAAATAAAATGTCAATTTAAAAATAAGCCTAAAACATATGGAGCTGAAATAATACAAAATCAAAACATTAAGTATCTAATTAAATAGGTAGCGATGGGTTGACCAAATCATGCTTAGCAACACACTCTCAATTCATACAAAAGCCCTTTAAATTCATAAGTCCCAAATAAATAAGCAGAAACACAAAGAAAGGTACTGTGCCAGCCAGTAACAACCACAAAGCAATTTCTCCCGTTTCCTTCCATATGATTCTAACAACAACAACAAAAAAAAAAACAAAACAAAAAAAACAAAACAAAACAAAAAACTACAATTCACGATTAAAAAAAAGTTGTCTAGAATATAAAAAGTCAAAACAAGGCTTCCTAAACATTAGATCACTGTACCGTAAATAAGGAAAGGCCACCTAATGAGAGATTTAAACAAAACTAGGTATTTAAACTTGTCTATTTAAGGTATGATTGAATATCTGCTTTCTGATCCCATGACTGGGTCCAAAATGAGGCCATGATAGGAACACATAGTCCACACACAATTCAGTTACATGTGGTGGTCTGTTTCATCCAACAAAGTAAGGGTACAGCCATACAGTAAGAATTACCCCTTACGTGGGTTCCTATAGTCTTAGGTTCCACAATGGAACAGGTGTTCCCTAAGCCTCTGTTGAGCTGTGGAACCAGGACTCATTGCTCTAGGCAGCACAGAAGCCTCAGGAAAATCTCATCTGAGACTTGGGAGTTCTGTCATGGTGCCTGCCTTCAAGCCTGTCATATTCATTGCCACAGACCTGTTAGTCTCTCAAATCAAGGCCAACATTCCTACAGTTTATCTAGTTCAGAGGTAAGCCTTCTCCAGAGATTTGTGCCTGCACATTGTAGTCAAGTTAAAAGAATAAAGGTCATCTTTGTACTCTATACTGGATATCCACTTGTGGTTACTGCTTCAGACATACACGCACCCACACAACCATTTCACAAATGGAAAACAGAATCTAGAGTAATGCCCAAAGCTTAAATTACACAGCTCCAAAAAAAAAAAAAAAAAAAAAAAAAAAAAAAAAGCATTGAAACCATAAGGTAACTCTGATAACAAAGAAACTTATTGCGTGATAGCAGGAAGTGATGCCTATGGACAATGACTGTAAACCAGGACTGTCCTTTAACCCTCAGTGGGAGCCTGGTGTGACTCTGCTCAGTGTGTTTCACTACACAAGCAAGCAGCAAAGAGAGGGGCGTGGTCTCCACGGCTCCCTCTGGCTGTCCTCAGTGCCTACCAGTATTCCCCTTCTGTGGATTACCCTAACAGAGGTCTCTGGGCTGTTTCTAATGTTCATCCTTGGGTCCTCGCCGCTGGGGAGGGGGAATGTCCCATGACTCCTGAAATAAAAGCTGTTTGGGAGGTTTGCATCTTTGTCTGTCTGTCAGCACGCCTGTCCCACTCACTGCTAGGAGAGATAGACCCAGTGTTTAAGTCTTGCCACCCCCTGCAGCAGCTTAGTGTAATAGAAGTCCATGTTGTCGGCAAAGTCTGTACAAACAGGTGACTCCAGGTTGCCCAGAGTGCAGTAGAGTGCAGTTCCTCCAACACTGAGGAAGACTGTGGCTATGCACAGCAAGACGAGCAGGATGCAGGAGCCGCTGCCCACTTCATCTGCAAACAAGAGAACAGTGGTCAGACATCTCCTCACCTATTCTTCCTTTAGTTGCAACTCTCTTTGCCTGTTCATCTATGCTGCAACCTAGTTTATGTATCTCCATGTTTCTTCATATCGCATCTGTGGGCCAAATATTCTGAAGAATTTTTCTGTACTACGTATGCTCTCTTTTCTTATTGTATTCCCTTAAATGATACTGTACAACAACTACTTACAAATTATTTAAACTCATGAGCTAGTATATGTAATGTGGATGACTTCAACTGTCGAGCCAACTATCTGACCCAAGACACTCTTTAACAAAGAATAAATGGCTGGGCATGGTGGCTCATGCCTTTTGTCCCAGTACTCAGGGGGCAAAGGCAGGTGGATTTCTATGAGTTTGAGGCCAGCCTGGTCTACAGAGTGAGTTCTCCAGGACAGCTTACCTCAATAAAGCAAACAAACAAAAAGAATAAACATAGTATGCAGGAAGGATTGGTGGGATGGCTTAGTTGATGTAGGCACTTGGCTTTATAAGCCTGATAGCCTGAGTTCGATCCCTGTAATTAATTAATGGTGGAAGAAGGGAACCAACTCCTAGAAGTTGTCCTCTGACCTCCACACATACACTGTGGCACAGATGTGAAATGAACAGTTATAATAATAATAATAATAATAATAATAATAATAATAATAGTAATAATCATCCAAGTACACAGAGTCTATGAACAGAGTCTATGAAAACAATATGCCATGTCATATAAGGATCTTGAGCATCTGCAGATTTTATTATTTTGGAGTCTTGGGTCCTATGGTACATAGAGAGATGACATTTTAACACCATTTAGGTATTTGAAAGTATCTATTTCTTTAAATACAATACATTATCAGCTATGATAGGAGCAAGCCATGTCTTGCTGCCGAGTATCTAGCAAGTGACAAGAAAGATGCAATGTGAGCATGAAACAGATTCCAGTGTTGGAGGACAGAGTGTGGAAAAAATTGAAGTATCTCACCAGTAATTTTCCCACACTGATGGATCACAGGTCACAATATTTTTGATATGTTAAGTTAAATGAAATATACTACTAAAGCACATTTCATATATTTCGTGTTTGTTATGTGGCTATCATAAAATTTAAAATCATCCATGAGGGGCTGGAAAGATGACTCTGTGTTTAAGAGCTCTTACAGAAGACCCAGGTTTGAGTCCCAGGCACCATGTGATGGCTTACAACCCTCTCTATCTTTAGGTCAGGGGATCTGATGCCCTTCTCTAGCTTTCTCAGACATACATGAGGCAAGACACCCATGCACATAAGAAAAGAAATCGCCTATGAACGTGCACATTACAATTCAGGACACAGTACTGACTAGCAGGAACACTCTACGGGAGTTCCAGGCAGGAGGTGAGGTTTGCACCTGTACACATCTAAGTTTCACCTAAAGGTTTCATGACTGTTGAGACTGATCCATGTACTTTATCTACAAGCTTTTCATTGTCCTCAGTAGTGGAGCAGTGATTGTTAGTTTGTATTTTAAGGAGGATGAAACTGAGTAACTTGGTGATGGTGAGGTGGCCTGAGAGTTCCAAACCCTGGTGCACACCTGTGTGGTCAGGACAGAGGACTCCAAGGGATGGGGGTGGGGTGTGGAGGCTGCGCTGGCTGGTTACGAGATGCCTGGATAAAAAATAAAGCATTTCCAAGGACTTTCACCTTCACAGCTGAAAGTCCCAGCAGCTCTCCTGCTGTCTTAGAGACACAGCGCAGTGTTTACACTGTTCACTCAGTGCACAGAGAAACACACCGACAGACTCTGAGCTAGTCTCCACTTCCCTTACGCACTCCTGCCTCAGGTGATTATCCGAAACCACACAAGACAGCTCTGCTGTGACAGCATGGCTCAGTGCTGGCCAGGGACAGACGCTCAACCACACTGTGCTGAGCAGACGCTTGAGGGAGGCACTCAGCTTCCATGCAGAGTAGAGAATGTTTCACGATAATAGAGGGGCATTAATTTGTCACTAAAAACAACAACAAGCTTACTAGAGAGAAAGAAAAGAAAGGAAAATACTAAAGAAAAAATACTGAGGTGAGTTTTTGACTTTGACCATTTCTGGACTGGGGAGAGTCCAAGGTCAATTTTGCAACTTCATCATTTATTTCAGGAAAAAAAAAAAAAAAAAAAAAAAAAAAAAGCAAGCTTCCAAAGTTACAAAGATATAACCTGATTTCTTTTTGTTTAGGAGATAGAGCAAGCCCACACAGTCCTTACAAATCCTGCTAACAAACATCATGTCCCTTGACTATCTAGCACTCTGATAGTGAACCTTCCAGATCCAGGCTGAGCGCACCTTCATCCAGGTTATCATCTATTTCCTGGAATCGCACTCTCCGCTTAGCTGGCTTCTGCTGCATTTGGGCAGGATGGTCCCCTATTGTGTCATTTCTCTTCTTTAGTATGGACACCAGCCCTTCTGCAGGAACGGCCTGTCAGAGATGGGAGAACCATTTGTTACACATGCAACCACAGAACACCATTTCAGTGATTTATACCCATCTCTCTTCACAATAGGTTGGCGCTCCACCACTCCCCATACTCCCCCCCCCCCAGCCACGTGATAGGGTCTTACCCAGGCTAGTCTTGAATCTGTGCAATTTTTTTTACCATAGCAGGAATGCTGGAAGTACATGCATGAGCTATGGTGTCTAGTTAAGTGACAGTGGCAGTATGTAAGCCATAAAGACACAAGGCCTAAAATATATATGGTAGCAAACTTAACATTATATGAGTTACCCTATAGGAATTAAGGCTCTGGATAAGAATTCACTTCCCCCTGCTGCCCTCAGGGCAAGCAGCTGTAACCACAGGAAAATAAAAACAGGTTTACTGAGGCAAGATGTGCCTTTGTTTTCTGCAACCTTGGGGCAGGCCCCTGTATCCTCCCTAACTGGTCCTTGGAAACTGAGATGACTAACCACCCCCCTCCACTTCCCCCTCCTCCATCTGGTGGCAGGGTATATAAGCCGGCCCTGGAGTAAAATAAACAGGAAAAGAGCCTTCTTAACATCAAGCAAGACTCCTATGTTGTGAATCTTGACACCCTCTGCAGATTCTCAGTCCCCAGCCATGCAGGCACAGCAATTGGAGGTTCCACCGAGATTCTGAAAGCAAGGTAAGTGGACGGGGTCATGCCTTGTGCTGGCTAGGACATATTGGGGTAAATAAATAGAAAAAAGAGAGATGGGGAATTCACCTGGAAAGGTTGAATTAGAATTTCAATTAAAGGAACTTCTAGAGGAACAGGGAACTGCAGTAAAGAGAAAAACTTTTGAAGGCTTTTTAAAATCCAATCAATGGGCTAGTCCTTGGTTTATAACTGGCAGAGGCCTGAATATGCCTGATTGGGAGGAGGTCAGTCATGACCTGCACAAATTGCTAAAGGAAAAGGGGCCTGACAGTCTGCCACTCTCCACCTTTTCCTTGTGGAGACTGGTAAATGCACTTCTAACAGATAAGGTCCACCTGAGGCAGGTGGTACAAGCTAGCAAAGAGGTTTTAAAAGAGATACAGGAGATGGAGACTTGGCAGTCATTATGTTCTGAGTTGGAAAATGAGGAAGATGAGCCTAAGAGGGTATCCAAGAAGCCACTGGGTGCCCGTGCAGATCAGAGAAAGACCGCATCTTCAGGGAAAGACAGGGCCCTGGAGCACGGCCCAAGGAAAGGTGCCCTCCAGAAAGCTGCCTATATCCTTCTTGTCAGATATAGAAAATTAAAGTAATTCAGATCCCAACTCAGAGTTGGATTGCTCACCGAGATCGCGGCTCTTAAAAAGGAATTGAGGAAGGCCAGAATCAGAGATCAAACAGAAAAGGCAAAGAGTCCCCCTCCATACTCGGGGAAGGGCTTTGGCCATTTTTAATGATGGTTGCAGTTGCGTCGCCAGCCTCCATACCCATTACATGGCTTCCTGACGAACCAGTGTGGGTGGAACAGTGGCCCTTAACCACAGAAAAACTTCAGGCAGCTTTCCTGCTAGTTCAAGAACAATTGGAGGCAGGACATGTGATCCCCTCCACCTTCCCCTGGAATTCCCCTATATTTGTGATTTAAAAGGCTTCAGGAAAATGGAGATTGCTCCAGGATTTGAGGGCCATTAATGCAACAATGCAGCCTATGGGGCCCTTCAGCCTGGCTTGCCCTTACCTGTGGCTATCCCTAAAGATTGGCATCTAATTGTTATTGATTTAAAGAATTGCTTCTTTTCCATTCTGCTGCACTCCCGAGATAGCCCCAGGTTTGCATTTAGCCTTCTTTTGATTAATTTTCAGGAACCCACCCTTTGCTTTCAATGGGTGGTGCTCCCCCAGGGAATGGCTAATAGTCCTACAAATTGCCAGGCTTATGTGGCTGCCTGCCTGGATCCTATCAGGTGCAAGTTTTCTGATCTCTACATTATCCATTATATGGATGATATTCTGCTGGCAGCGCCCACTGAGGAGAGATGTCTTGAAGCGTTTGCTAAATTGCAGGAGCTCCTGGAGGCTCATGGATTTATTTTGGCCCCAGAGAAGGTTCAAAAGAAACCTTACACTTATCTGGGCCATCAAATCCAACAGACCAGCCTCCGGCCTCAAAGGCTCCAAATTGATTGTTCAAATTTAAAAACTCTTCATGATTGGCAAAAGTTTTTGAGAGATGTTCAATGGATCCGCCCCTCTCTTTCCATTAAAACAGGGGAGATTAGATCCCTTTATGATATTCTTCTGGGGAATCCAGCTCAGACCTCTCCCAGACAAATTACACCGGAGGCCAAGGAGGCCATCCAATTGTTATTAAAAAAAAAAAAAAAAAAAAAAAAAAAACATTGAAAAAGCCCATCTTTGCTGCTGAGATTATGAACAGCCTCTTGTTGTGGTTGTACTTTCCTCTAGTTTTTCACCCACTGCTGTTTTTTGGCAAAATGGCCCTATATATTGGATTCATTTGTCAGCCTCCCCTAAGAAGGTGGTATCCCCCTACTATGATGTGATATTACAGTTATTATGGAAAGCGCATAAATTTAGCATCCAAACCTTTGGAAAGTCCCCTGATAAGATTATTATCCCCTATGACAAGGAAGAGGTTGAGCATTTACAGACCTCTCATGATGGATGGACACTCTTTTATCACATCTATAGTAACTAAATTTGACAACCACTACCCAAATAGCCCCTTGCTGTCCTTTTTAAGCAGTACCCTGTAATTTTTCCTCAGAGTATAAAGGAGCCCCCCCCCCCCCTTCAAGGAGTGCGCTCAGTGTTTACAGATGGCACCTCTAAGGGTTTTGCTGTAGTAGTTTATGGTCAAATGCAAAAGAGGACACCTACAGGGCAAATGTCTGCCCAGGCTGCCAAATTGGTTACTTGCCTAATGGCTTTTCAGTTGTTTGATAAAGAACCTTTTAATCTATATACTGATAGCATTTATGTTGCTAATATTGTAAAGCCATTAGAGGCTTCTCCATATGTCCTTCCCATTTCTCAAGTTCATTCTCTTCTAGTTAAGCTTCAACATCTTATCTGGCAGCGGATACACCCGGCATTTGTGGGGTATATATGTGCCCATACAGGCCTCCCAGGACCCCTTGCCCAGGGCAATCAACTTGCTGATTCCTTAACTCAGTCCCCAATGTCATGTTCACAGAGAGGCAACACACTTGCCAGCTTCATGAGCCATATCACCTAAATGCACACTCTTTTAAGTTTAATACTAACTGCTCCTTATCTGTTGGCACTCAAGATTACTTCTCAATGCCCTGATTGGCCCCTTATCATAATTCCCGCAATGATGGGGTGAATCCCTGGGAACTAAGGGCTAACAATCTTTGGCAAAAGGACGTCACCCACCTGCTTCAAGCAAGAAAATTAAAATATATGCATGTTTCTGTGGATACATATTCTATGATGGTTTTTGAGTCTCTATACTCTGGAGAAAAGATTAAGGATGTCATCTCTCATTGTTTACAGGCCTTTGCCTATATGGGTGCTCCTGATATCTTAAAAACCGATAATGGCCCCGCATATGCTAGTCATCACTTCTCAGCCTTTTGCAAGGAACATCATATTAATCACTCCTTTGTCATCCCACACAACCCTACGGGACAAGCCATCGTGTAACGCACTCATGCCACCCTTAAACAATATTTTAATAAAATAAAAAAGGGGGAATATAGGACCTCACCCAATTCTCAATTATCTACCATACTTTATATTTAAAATTTTTTGACTATAGATAAAAATAACTTGTCTGCCATGGAGAGACATTGGGACAAACCCTCTCAAACATTGGGATGGGTCAGATGGAAGGACATAATTACAGGTTAATGGCAACAACCCACACACCTATTAGCTAGGGTCTGAGGGGCTGTTTGTGTTTTCCCCCAGGAACAGAGAAACCTATTTGGATACCAGAACGACATGTTAGCCCTGTAGATCCTGATTGGGAATCCAGTCCTGCTTTACTGGAATCTCCGGCCCATGGAGGGACGGACGGTTTGGGCCTTGGCGAGGAACGCCCACTCCCCACCCCCCACTCTGATGCCAGTTAGTCAGGAGAGCTCCCTGTTTCCCTCTTTCTTTTCCACCAATCATTCCCTGGGACTACCGGCTGCCATTGTGCCGCTGGAAACTTCATTACTGAGTAATTTGACCTTCCTGACACAGGGGAGCCTTTGCTTACAGAGAGTGCTTAATGTTTCCCAATTGCCCAATGGGTCATTCTCAGTGTCATGCATAGTTTTGAGTAATGCTTCCATTGCTGATTTTCACCCCAATGCCAGTATGAGTGATTGCTTGGGACTTAGAGAGGTCCTACACCCTATAAACTTCTAGCAGGAACAGGGGAATGCTACTACACAGCCCCCTAAACCCAGGCCCCTATGCTGGAAGCTCCCCCAAAATTATGACTTGCATAGGCCCTTGCCTTGGGGACACTGTGCACCACTTTTAATGGGTCCTTGGGGGAGGGAGAATCTCTCAATTGTTCTTCCAGAACCTGCTTCCTGAGCAACTGCTGGTCCCCGATGGACACCGGTGCCCTGGTAGTTCAAGTTCCTGCCCTCGCCCCCATGGTGATGGAAGACTGACATGGGGGAGAAGAGATTATCCTCTACTGCCCAAGAAGGGACTTTGGTATTACTGCTGCCATCATTACTGCCATTGCTGTGTCAGCGACTGCTGCCTCCATTGCAGGGATTGCTGTCACTCAGTCCACTGTCAATGCAGAGACTGTTAACCAGCTGGCAGGCAAAATCAGTGAAGCCCTAGCTACGCAGAATGCCATGCCTGAATGCTCATATTTGGTTTGGACTCTCATATTCAGTTTGGACTCCTTAATCTAAATCAGCAAACTGCCTTACTTCAGGAACAAGTTGGTGTATTGTGGTTGGTGCAGCAGGCCTCCTGCTCACACTTTGTCATTCCTCTTGTATCATCTTGTTTGAAATG